TAGCAGTGCTGGAGCGAGGCCCAAGCTAATAAACCTATCAGAGCTTATCAGCTTGGTATTCACCCTGCACCTCATCCCTAAAGTTAGCACATCTCTTTACTGTATTCACTTACTTGTTGGGAACTGTCACACAGGAGAACGATAGCAATGACACCAGAGAATTCAAAGCTTTTGTGCAGTATTCTTCCTTATCCAGAAAAGCCATCCTTACTTTTCCTGACCCCCTCACCCCCACTTTGCTCTCTAACACATTCTGACTTTGCACAAGAAAAATTGAGACTGATCAATATGCTGACTCCAGAATTCTGATATAAAAAATGCTGAAGTTTGTTACACCACTATCAAAATGTAACGTATAGAGCCATATCCTTACCTATTGTGTCAGTCTACTGCAGATGCAGAAAGATTAAATACACTTTCTTCTTTTTTTGTACAGGAATCACTTGCTCAACTGGATACTACCACAATCACCAGTTAATAAAGCAGCCGTACTTTCCTGCAAGGCAAGCCCCCTTTCCACGGCAGGCATTCCCACAAACGCTGTCTGACACAAGCACTGACACGCAAGCAGAAATCCCATCTTCCACCGGGTCCTATTTCAGGTTTAACAAATTAGTCTGAAGGTGACAGCCCACTATAAGCTCACATATAAACACAAGAAATCTGTTTTTAACTTTAACGAGCGTACACCAGGATTTCCTTCCTGTAATAAGGACAAGGGAGGGAAAGCAGAGCTATCGAAACAACACAAGGAATCTCCTCCTGCTGTTTATCCAAAGCATAAACAACGGAGTTGCCTTCCATGGAAGGTGGTGTAAACCTTGGTCTTAACCTCATTATGTTATCACCATGCCGTGACATTGACCAGGCCTGTGCCATTTGCAACTGCCAGTAAAGTGACAGAAGCATTTTCCACTCAGCTTCCTATCTTCCTCAGTCTATAGTTTTATTCCTAAATGTATGTTATCTCTGTTCTAATGCATAATTGCAGGGATAACAAGCAGAAAGCCTCCATATCAGTTACAGCCCCTCACGCAGGCTAACTTTAATTCTCCTCAAACTAGCTCCAATTTTCCCGACCGCATGAAGAGAATAGATAACTATTCTTGGCGCAGGGTCACACATGAGCTTTCTTTATTTGTAAGTTTAAGCAAAGTCTCCGCAGTGTTCATAATGCAAAAAAAAAATTTTGCACCCAATACAACTCCCCTCTATTTGCACGAGTTCAATAGTTCTCCTGTGAACACACTGCAGAAGTAAAACAAAAACTGCTGAAGCCAATTTCAAACATTTGTTATTTCTAGATTATATGGTTCTGGAATTTTTCTTAAAGCCAGTGACACACACACTGCAGTGACCATAAAAATACAAAATCTGGGGTTTACTATACATGTGCATTTGAAAAACGGCAGTGCTTCACAGTCCCAGTTACCATCCCTAGACTTAATAGAGGATTTATAGGAATTATTATTATACAAAGCCAGACTGCAGAGAACCAGTCAGAACATCTGCGTGGTATTGGGCCTAACTTGCAATACATAACAGCTCATCACAATTCCTCGTTAACACAAAAGGGAAGGAATTATTTATCCGACTCTTCTTTAGGTAGTTCCAATGCTCATAGTAATTACTGTGGCATCATACCAAATAGGTCTCACACCTAAAGACAAGGCTTATTAACATACAGATATGACTACAGGTTACTGGTTTTGTGCAGGCAAAGGAGGCACGTGTTCCCCCCAGACTTCTGTGGAAAGGTTACAGCAAGAAGTATGCCCTGTTTGACCAACGGCTGATCACATCTGAAAATCATACAGAACATTTCTTTATCAAAACATCAATGAGCTATCATTTTTCTACCCTTACAGAGAGAAGGAAAGAAGACACTCACACAATTCAGAATTCCTTTCTCTTCTCTCACCACTGTCTACTCCATTAGCTTGTTAAGAACAAATGATTGAATTTTTACCTCAGCCCTCAAAGAAAACATTGTTTGAAAAATTATGATGAGACCTTAGAGTAGGAATACTCGGACCTGATGGGAAAAGAAGCAGTTTATTGGGGAAAAAAAAAAAGAAAAAAATGTTGTTGTGTCACTTTCAGACGTTGTAAAAGAGTTACTATCCATCTTTTCTGTAGATGGTTTCTTCATGTCTCAGGCAGTCAGGGATGGCTCAGGAAACCAGGGATGTGGGAGTTTCTGTGGTAGCCTTACTCCTTAAAACAACGTAAATTGCTATACTGAAATGAATCAAGCACTCTTAACATAGGTGAAAATTTCTTCTGGGCATCTAGGAAGACTCTATATACATTTGGTCAGACACACTTTTGCACAGTACACACATGTGCATGCTATTAACCTACTTGCACACATCACAGACATGTATTCCTTTCCTGTTTCAGATTATAGCCCTTGGAGATCTAGGCTTCACGACTACAAAATAAATCTGATTGCAAAATACATACTCATAGGTAGAAAAGAAACATTTTTAAAAAATCAAATCAGTACACGAGCTTTTACAGGAACGTATTATTAACCCCAGCTTCCTTCTGGGCATTTCCATGTACCATCTGGCTCAGAGTACGGTCCCACTCTTCTGCAGTTCCTGCCATCTGGAATAACTTTCCTGTAACTCCAAGTTTCATCTATTCCTTCATCCCATTCCAAAACACAAGTGACACATTTTTTCACCTTTCTCTCACCTATTTGCCTCCAATTCCCCTCCCTATTTCTCAGTACACTTTACCCCCTGATCACAAGGTACAACTCTATGCAATTCTGCGAAGTTTTGGAATGTAGCATATGATATATACTCAAAACATATATGATATATAGCATATGACATATACTCACAACATATATTATACATACTCAAAATTTTGCTTCTCAACAGCACTATATACATGCCAAAATATATGCATATCACCCTGATAAAACAACAACAAAATCTGAAACCCAGAAAACCCAACCACAAAGAGGGACTCACAGGGCACCACAGGACCCACGGCTACTGAGCAGCGGGAGCCCCAGGGTTTGATCTATAGTGTAGAACAGTGTCTTAATTCCACTAGTATCCTATGAGGGGCTTGCACTAAGTATCCCGTTTTCCATTTTTAATTGCTTTTTCCATTAAGACTCAAAGAACAAAGTGTAGTCAAGCAGCCTCCCCATTTTACTTTCTTCTCCTCTTGCTTCTGTAAAACAGCCATTTAGATAAATTAACAATGCCTCCTCATCCCCAAGACTGTAACATTTCTAAACTTGAGACGATAATGCTTGCTTGGCTCAGGTTTTTTTAAGTCCTACTCACAAATAACATGAGTGTTTTGGTAAGATTGACCAAATGATGCAAAAGATGTCCTGAGAAACAGATGTAGAAATTCAGCTCACAAGGTGCATATATTTTCTGATAGTAGAACAGCTTCAATACACCTCATTCAGTTATGAACATACTCCCAACCCAGTATCAGCCAGCAGTCTCCTCATTGAAATAAGCAAATACCCACACCCAAGCAAATTCGAGACAAACTGAGTCCTCTAACCTTTGAGACTGCTTCATTTTCCCCTTTTGACCTTGCAAGTCAGAATGCTCAATAAACAACACACCATCTTTTACAGCCGGAGGGCTAACTGAATCTGCCTTTTTTTAATAAAAGAGGCTCAATCTTGAAAGGTGCCACACTGAAGTGTTTTAACACACAGACCACAATCCATCATTGTTAAACACCAAGTCAAGCCAACAAAGAGACAGCAGCAAAAGAGAATCAAGACAAACTCATATTCTGTAAATATAGAGAAGAGTTACAAGTTAGCAATCACTTTTCTCCTCCTGCTCCTATTTTTAAAATTCTTTAAGGAGTTACAGTGGAAAAGCACTACACTACAATTTTTTGTTCATTTTGCGGTTTTTTTTTGTCTGGTGGAGTTTGTTTTGTTTTTTTGGGGGGTTGGGAAGTTTTTTGTTTTTCTATACACAGAAGTACTCATCCAGCAAAGTCCTGAAGTTCGCAATTTGTTTTATGTAACTTCAAGATATATTTAATCAAATGACAGACATCCAAGAACAGCACAGATCATTTTAATTACAACGTCTGTCAGCCATCTCAATTATCCCTACTTTGGAAATACTGCTTTTGTTTTCCTCCTCTGTTGCTATAAAATGTCTTACGTCTCAATAAATTTTAATCAGGAAATAGCATCCCAACTCTTAAACTCTGGGAGCAAGTTTCCATCCTGATCCAACCAGACAAGCAGGAGATTTGTTCACATATTTGAGAGGAAGAAAAATGTTTTCTGCTAATTCAGTGAAACGCGTTCCAGAGCTGTTCTATGTTGTGGTCTTACTGAACAGAATTCTTTGCTATAACTTCATGCTAAGCCAAAAGTAAACACTCTCGCCTTTTTATATGAAGGGCTCTACCCCAAAGTATAAACACAAGCATCAGTGGTGACAGAGGAAAAGTTATATTCCCCCAACCAGGGGGGTACAGGACCAAACACCAAACCAAAACAAAAAATAAAACCACCCCACAAACATCATTCAAGCAAACACGTGCCAGCAAAATGCAAACATCAGGGTGCTTCCTAGAAAATCGGGCATCAAGCTGCGCTCTCATCTGTCACCCAAGAGGACAGTATCAATTTCACAATGGCATTTTGCAACACAAAACCCACCATGTAATCCACAATTAACAGATTTCTTCCATAAATACCTGCAGTTTAAAAATTACCAAGCACTTTCGCAGCATGCGGAAATTTGTCCAACCAAAACATCACATACAGCACCCGCGCAATTTTCAGAACATTCTTTTCTAAAGCCTCCTCAACCAAAACAGGTGCTGACATGAATAGAGGAGACATAGCATTCAAAAACGACTTTTACTTTATAATGTTCTCATCTTTAGTGGATATATTTATGTTCCTTAGCTTCAACAGTCTCTCTGGTCACTTTAAAAAAGGACTTTCAAAATAGTAAGACTAAACACCATCAAGAACTTACCAGATTGGAATTGGTGGCATTGGAATCATCTTCTGGAAAGGGGATATAGATAGCTAAGGCCACACAATTGGCAAAAATAGTCAGTAAAATTATTATTTCAAATGGTCTGAGGAATGGAGTTAAGGAAATTGTCCCAAAATGCGCACACATAAATAAAGAAAGATTTATAATAATTCTGTTTAAAGAAAACGTTCCAAGCCCCTTATATTCTGAAAAGAAACATATGCCTTTTTAAGTGCTTTTAGGAGATCCCAGCCAAGAATCTCCCTAATATGTCAAAAGCAGTGTAGGCCTGTCGCGTGCCAGAGTAAACATAGATTTCTTATAAGTTTTTTCTTCTTTTATTTCTTTAGATTGCATTTTTCCCTATTTTCCTTCAATTGTAGCTGTACTATTTTTAATAACAGAATCCTGTTCTAGAAGGACTGTCATCTTTCCTGTTACAATTAGTTTCTCTCGGTCTTTTCTAATCTGCATTTACAAATAATTTTAACAAAAGTTTCGGGGTTTTTGTTGTTGTATTTTTCCCCCTTCCTCAATCTCTCTCATATCAGAAAGTTAAATGCAAGAGCCTAAGAAACACATACATACTTTCAGTTAGGAGACATTTAAAAGATGCAGTCTGTTAAGGCAAAAAAAGCAGCGGCTTTGTCCCAAATATGCTTATATACCCCACGTTGCCATGTATTTTTGTTTTGTTTCAAAATTATTTGAGGAGTATTTTTCTAATACTTGCACTTCATTTGGCATCACGTGGAAAGCAAATGTGCCTGCACAGTATATTAGGGACACCATGAAGCTAAGAGTTCCTTAGGACACAAACTAACACCATGTGGGGCATTTCAACCTGGCATCAACTTTGTTGGGGGGGGTGGGGGAGGAAATCCAACATTTGGGAAATTCAACAAACAAATCCTGCACAACCTTGTTGCCCCACTGACTGTCCATTGGAATCAGAGGGCATTTTGCTACCGATCAATTTGCTGGCACTGTACTTCACCTACTTCAGTGGACTCCTTAATTGCTGTGAAGTGTCTCCAAATTCAGACTAGAGACCAGGTTTACAGCCTGTCTGCATTTACTTGCCTGCAAGAACATCCTGGACGCTAGCTCTGGCATAACTCACCAGTACTCTGGAGGGGAATGAAGAGCAGGACAAGCAGGAAGAACGCCAAGTATCACCTGTGCCACAGAGTGCATTGGAGCATGAATTTATCTACCATGGGACTGGCTTTGCAGCATTGCTAAATGTCAATGCAGCATGGATAATTTTTGTCAGCAGACCACTGTTCTCTGCAGGTTTTAGCAGGAAAGAACTGGAGATAAGATGTGCAGCAGCCCGAACTGCAAGATATGCACAAATTCCAGGCATCTGTATGCTCAGATACATTCTACATTTCACATATGGAAAAGACAAAGGGTTCCAAACTCACCAGACTACCATACTTAAACCTATGAATAATAGAGATATATGCTAATACGGAGAAAGAACAGAAGATCAGGGTAGGTAAATTACATGTGGAATCAACGGGACTTCTCAGGTACTTCAGGCTGTGTCCGTAGTGTTTACTGCATAAAGACCTCAATTTCCATAGGCTTTCCTTTTCTTAATCACTTTTTTCCTAGACTTTTTGTTTTTGACGGGGTTATTATCTATTAACTTATCACTGCTTATGCTTTTTTTAAAACTTCTATTCTCTTTTTACATGGTAAAAATAAAATGGCATAAAATCTACGAATGCATTGCACACATAACAAAATTAAATACACCGCTAGATCTTTGCAAAATAAGGTTATTACTTCATTTCACTTTTTCTTATATGCAATTGCACCTTCAGGCTCTTAACGCTGCATTGCTCCGGTAAGAAACACCACAGAAGTACCATTTGATATTTGTTTAATATCTGCTATGCTTAGACTTCAGTGGTTCAGCAAATTAAGCTAAGCTTTTCTCAGTAGTTTTTAGCAATTAGGAAAATCAGAGTACAGAATAAAATTAAATCTTATCACAACCCTTTGATATTGTTACTTGTCATTGAAGCGTTTCATGTTTATAAACATCAGATGTCCAATGAGAGGTTCTGATGAAAAAAATACTTCCATCAGCTCACCTAAAACCAAACAAAACCAAAAAATGCAAGCATCAGCATCTTTGGATTGCTTTAATCACATTGTTTGGTCCTCTCTTGATCTCAGCAGTGCTGTATCCTGTTTTACAATGCAACATTCCCAACATTCATTGCTGCTCTTATTCATTTATCAAATGTCACTCCGTGCTCTTTCTTTAAAGACATGTGGTTACTGGGGTCCTGGCAAGTAAACCAATACTCAGCTTCATCCTGTTAGTCATCAGCCATCATCTTATGCCTAAAGTATCAGAGCTATGCCAGAAGGGATAAAAAGCAGCAAACAATCAGGGAGATTAAAAACTACCATGCGAAGAAGAAAGGAATAGGTAGGTAGTTGAAGGACATCTAAGAATTGACAGAAGGGTTTTTAACAAGCTCTTAATCTGAAAGATATGTCCACGTCAGCGAGACCTAGTGTACTCATATTCTGTTTTCATCTGTCTAACATCCCACCAGACCCCGAAAGGAACAATATTATCACATTGTTTTAAATGCCACCATTCTTTTTTTTATCATACTGCCTTCCCTTGAATGTGCTTACCTATCCCTAACAACATGATTTTTCTTTGGTATTTACTGAAGAACCCCATTAGCTTGTGATTTACTGACTATTACTGTTCAGGGTTAGTCTTGGTTTCTCTTTGCAGAGGTGAGGGAGATCTATTTTATTTCAATTTGGGTTTCACACCAAATTCTCAAATTCCAGCTTGTACTGATCAGACTTGGGTGACTAAAAAGGCTTTGCTCCTTCCACATGATGAAGCCAATGGGCAAACTCTCACTGACTTTCCAAGGAAGCAGCACTGACCCTTACATTCTGTGGTTCTGTGTCCGTGGGTATGATCTGTCATCTGTGACACAGTCTGTCTCTTGTTCAGACCACTAGATCTGGCCCCGTACTGCATTTGTACATGTTTCAGGACTACTTTAACTGTCTTGCTTTTTCCCTGCTTCCAGATAACCAGTATCTCTTACCACACATTAGTGAGCCTTATTAGTTTAAGTGGAATTCCAATATAATTAACAGACCTTGGCCCTTTCAAGGTCTTATCACATACATTTGGTTTTTCTCTCCTCCCTGTGCCCCATTCTTTTCTCCATACTCTTAAAAGTATGTCACCACACGTTTCACAAACAAGTGTACGATTCCAAGTATCACCTCTAAGTGCCCCCAAAAAACAGAAGGGAAAGCCAGCAGCTGCTATCAATCCCACAGAGTTAGTTCAACTCTGGCCTAAGATATCTTGCATATCTCACATCGATCTCAGCCTGGGCCACTTCTTTTGAAAAGAACAGAATTCAACCCCTAACCTTTATAATTTAAATATCTAGTGGTTTCTTACATAATGGTATAGTTAAGGCTTCGGTACTCAACTTCCCCCCCCCGCTGAGACATCAAAAACTATCCGTATGCTTTACGTTCCCAGTGGTGCTTTTCAACTTAAGGTATTGATTTTCTCACACTTATGAATAGCACCAGATGCACACAAGCAATTTGCTGTTTTCCAAATGAGAACATCAAAAAGGATATTTCCATTCGACGATGCTGATGCATGCCCTCCGGATAGGATTTTTCAGTGTTAAACACAGCAGTGCCCGGGGAGGACGCGTAGCTGTGGTGGTACCCTGTTTTTTCTGTTTCCCATACTGCTGCCGTTTCCTCTGTGTGGAGCTGGCTGTGGATATTGTTGCATTGCCAGAACTACCCATCAGTTTGGCTTGCCTGGCAGCATCAATCGCAGCTTGCCAGGACAGAGCTGCCCCTGGAGTAGGGATATGCTCTGGGGCAAGCCCTGCAGCTGCATTGGCGTTCATGTTGGCATGAGCTGGGCGGGGACTCCCATAGTTGGAACCTGTGAAAGGTAAAAAAACAAACAGAAATTTGTGAAGATATTTTTCAACAGCAGAAAAGAGAAAGTGTTTTTAAAAATCTGAAATACCAGTAAAATCAAGAGCTAAGGTTAAGGATAAGTGTAGGGTATCCACTTACTACCAGCTTGTTCCTTGAATTCAAACTTGCTCATCTTAAAAGTAATACTACTACACAATCACTCATCTCGCAACAGCCTCCCAACAAGACCCAATGGAACTGAGCTGTTAGAAGTGCCTCCAATCAATACAGTCACCAGGGATTCACATAAAAGAAATTGTCCTTTTCCTTTTCTACCCACACATTTTTCAAGTTGGATGGTTTGAAAGCTCAAGAAGTGAGGCTAGCTCTCATCACTTTATCACACAGTGATGAAGCACGACACTACTTAGCATACAGCAAAGCACCCAAATAAGATTATGAAGTCATATCATAAAAATCCTCATGTTGTCAAGATTATCTCAAGTGAAATTTTAACAATAAGATGAATTCTTTCTCAAACAGTACATACGTATAAGCCTAAGAACAGCCCGACTCAGGGGTACACTGAAAGAAACTGGAATACAAAGGCAGGGTTCCTGGCTTTTCTATATGATGCTGTGTGGATAGTTTAGGTCAACCAACATATATTTAGAAACTGGAACTGATTCCTTATCCTGGTAAACTGATTTTAAGATAGGTGAACTATTGAAATCAATAGTGACACTTACTTAAAAAAAGCGTGTATTAAGAAGAACGCTAAGACCTAGCAGTCCCAACTTCTGCACCTCTCTTAGCCAAAACTGAGGGATTATATGCTTTTGCCCAATCATAAGAATAGAATATACATTAGTTGACACATGGCTGATATTTAAGTCTTCACAATACAAAAAAAAACACATCAGCCAGCCTTTCAAGTCCATGCAATTCGTCCATTGTTTCAGTGAAGATAGTTAAGTCACCTATGCATCTGCAGTGAGGCTTTTTCAGCAACTCAAATTAAAACAATCACTTCAAAATGAGTGCATTTTGAAACTTCAGAACATATTCCCTTCTTGTTTGGAGTACGCTTCAGTTGAGATATGTGAGAATTTGTGAAGGATTAACTGAATTGTGCCACAGACACTTCATAGAAGAAAGTACAAACCATGTCAGAAAAGTGCAACGTAAAATCTACACGAAGTCACAACAGCAAACTTTAATTAGGAAGAACATCTTGTTTAGATATGTCCAATATAAGATTTAGGAGACTACATCTTCTTTTGTGGACTTGCGAGTTTGCCTGCGGCCCACATGTTGAGACAGAGGCAAAAGGAAGCCCAAATACTCTACAGACCTTCCTTCACAGGCTATGAAACCAGAGTTCAGTTCCAAAACACCGCACACCCAAGAGCTCGTGTTTCCCCTTCCATCTGATCAGCAGAAGCTATGCTTCAGGAAAAGTGTACATGCAAGAGGCAGGCAGACAGAAACTCAGTAAAGGAGTTAGATAGCTTTTATTTCAAAGTAAGCTAGAAGTTTACTATTGACTGTGCTCCATTTTAGATTAATATAGCAATACAGTGTTAGTAAAGAGATCAGATAGGGTCCTATAGACTACTGGGCAAAGCAAACAAGACCATGTGATACTGTTTTCCTTCAAATATCAGATAAAAGACGCTCAAAAACTGGGGAACTGGCAAACTGTTCTCGAACAGAAATTATTACCCAAGATGCGCATTTCACAGCTGGATGCGCAGTGCCAAGATATCACAGCAGTGACTGCAATACAAATGAATTAAAGCAGGTGAAATAAATACAATCACATTGACACAGAGTGCAACAGTATATGCCTCTACCTAGAAAGCATGCAAGATTTTTAAATTCATCTCACTGAACCGCAAGGAAGAACGTGATGGAGTCAGATGTTATTTTATGTCAGGCATTACCATAAGATTTCCAGGCTGTTATAGTTTCACTGCAGAGCAGAAAAATATAGAGCTTGTCTCTGCTCACTGAAAAACCTCCTAGATGCAAACCAGCCAAAGGAAGCTAGTGAGGAATATGACTCTGATATGTGAGAAAGGGAAAGCTGAAAGAAACAAGAAGTGGGAAATAGTTAATTCATACCCCTCAGATTTTGAAACTGAAGAGACAGAGCTTTCAGAATCCCACAGGCTAAGCAGATTTCCTTGATGAAGCAGGCAATCAACTAGCAGACAAACTCAGTTTTCTAAGCAAATTGTACACAGCACTACTCATGGGATACATATTTATTTTCAGACTAGTTCCAGATGCAGTTTTTCCTCTTGAGCATCTGGTTTGACCTCCCTAGCCTGAGGCATGCCGGAAAGAAAAATAAATGGGAAATTACTCTATTCTCCAACTCGAGCTCTTCTTTAATACAGACCTATTAGAGCGGATAAGAAAGATGTGTGTGATTTCCAGTTAAAGCAAGCTTGCTGATCCATCACCACCGTGTTCTTACCATGCTGACTAAACCATGTGGTCCTGAAAACAAACAGCTGCTGCATCTTAATGAAGACTTTTCTGCAATTTGGGAATGTGTCAAGCTTCTCCATTACTATTGCTTATTAATTAGCTTTCACATGAGGATTCAAGTCTATGCATTTTGTCTTTAATGCGCCACCAAAGTTAAGGATACAGTTTCTGGTGGTTTCATTGCTTTTGCTTCTACCATGATCACAATTTCCACAATAATGTGCTTTTTCTCAAATTAATTTCAAAAGATGAGTCAGTAATGACAGGTTTATATTAACAAATATTACAAGTATCGATTACTGATAAAGACCTGTGTTTCACGAAGCTCAGAGACTACAGACTATCTGTACTAAACAACTAATGGCAGTGACAAATGACTTGATCTACAGGCAGTTTATAGAAATAGCTCAGAGTGAAGCTCATAGCTTCACAGAAAGTACATTCCAGAACTGAGCAAGATATTTTCAAAGACAGCATAGCCAAACTCTAGGGGAGAATGAAATTCTACCCTCTGATCTAAATTGTTAGTATTCATTCCTAGGCAGTAAGCAGAATACAATTCATATTGAACTTGAGGCACCATGCTAAATTTCATCTATAGCACTCATTTCTCCCCCACCATAAAAAAAACTTTGCTGTACCCTGAGAGCTGCAGCTACTGCATTTGCAATTTTCATTTTGCAATGTAGCAGCTGAAATACTCGATTTCCCCATTGCAAATAAAGTGTCACGATACCTAAATCACTTTAATCATGTTTGTTTATACTGTTATTAAGCTGGAAGTTGAACAGAACTGGGAAACGGAGATTCAGCCCCCACCCAAATGCAATCACTCACTAAGCACTGTGATCCACAGGATCATCACCCTGCTAACCCCAACCGCCCTTTAGCAAGAATTTGTGCTGTTGACTATGTCCATCTGGTGCGCAAAGCTCCTCTCTCGAGCACTTTTGTGCCCCAGATCATGAGTTTAAGCATTCGAATAGTGATTAAACATAAAGGTCCATATAAGCGAACAAACTTGATTACAAAGCCTTTAGGAGAGACTTCCATTTCTGCAAAAATTCAAAGTTGCAGAAATACTTAAACGCAGACACAACAGAAATACAGGTCTCAAAAATCAGAGTTAAGTCAGAAAAGTAACAAACAAGGTTGCTATACAACAGGAAATCAAGGATATTGCACAAAATACATGACATTGTAAGCTTACAACTAAATCACCAAGACAGTCACCACCAAAATCGCTATTAAAGATATACAGTGATGACCACTAACACCTTTATAAGTGTTATTTGCATTCTAATAACATCTGTCTGTCATTCCACCTATTAACCATCTCAAAAGCATCACTGAAAAAACCCCAAACAAAAAAACCACTAAGCCCTGACCATTCTATATGAGAAATGGGTAAGCTAATGACACAATGGAATTGCAGCTTTTGAGTTTCTCAACTTCATCCAGTCAGCCACACATTTATTTCAGAGGAATTTGTGTTTAGAATAATTATTCAAATTAAACTAGAGCTCTGCTGATGTGGAGTGCCACCATTCTTTCTTCCCATAACTTTAAAAGCATCAGAAACCTAAAAATGTAAGCCTTGAAACTCTGTGGCACTGCTGTATTTTTCCCCAAAGCAGAGGGGAGATGGGTACAGCAAAACACAAAACTGGTTAAATCATAATATCTTCACTGAACACTGAACAAAAGCATACAGAAAGCAGGAAACTGGTCACACTACTAAGATCACATGCAAGAACAATTCAAGCACACAGGAAAAATGCTATGAAAGACGGCAGTGAGAGGTGCCTAACAAGAGCTATGAAGACTAACACACACACGAAAAAAAAGATTCAGCGTATGATGTCATCTATTAATAAAAGGAAGAACGTGGAAAACCTTGATCCACTAACCACTGGAAAAAGAAGAGCATCTGATAGATGATTGTAAGAAGGCTTCAGTGTTACCTGACCTTTTTGCAGCAATTTTTACTACAGAAAAACCCATCAAAAGCAGGTGATTAAAACAATTAATCCCCAAACCAAAACAGGTATCATTTCCAACTGCGAAAGTGAAACAAGTTACAAAGTAGTTAGATAATGTCCATGGTTTCAGCTACTTAGGTACCGCAAACCAGAATATCCTACAATATCTAAAGAGCTTTCTGCAGTAATCTCAAAGCTGTTAGCTGCTGGTTTGAACTCACGGGAGACAGGAGAGATCTCAGAGGACTGAAAAAAGGTGGATGAAGTCCCCAGTTAAAAAAGTCAGAAGTAGGGAAATTTAAATCCAGTGGAACTTCAGTCTCCAGAAAAAAAAAAATCTGGAATAAGTAAAAGAAACAAGTGTCAGCAAGTACTTGGAGGACAAGGAGAAAAATAGCAGTGACGCAGATCTGTCATGAATACACTGTGTCAAAGAAAACTAATTCTCTCCAGAACTGAGCAACAGAATTCACAGGCAAGAAGAAAATCAGTAGGTGCCATGTCTCCTGACTTTATTAATAGTTTTATGAGGTCTTGTATGACAATTTCACAAGGATACTAGGGACATAAAAGCAAGACAAAAATTGCCGTAACATGAGTACAAAACCAGTGGATGCCTGAGAGCAGTTACCACTGGTACACAGTCTGAATTGGAGGATACGTCACATGGATGCACCCAAGTGCTTGCCCTGGTTCTGATTCTGTTCAATGT